TACCTGCCTCTCTGCCTCCACGCCAGGAGTTTTTGGATTTACACACCCGGACTACTCACCCCTCTATGTCATCTCCGACCTCCGTTGGCAAGTACGCAGTACGAAGGAGGATTCTGAGCCAACAACATATTCATATGTCTCCTTATCTGTGTCTGAACATCTGTACTCTGTTACAGTGACCCCGACCTTTTCCTGGACCCTATGTGACTTGCTTTCCAGTCCAATCCCCGGAATAGCTGTCTTCTCTGACCCGGACCATATTGTTACTTAGTTTAACGTCTACTCTCACCTTTTTGTTTATGAATATTTTGTGGACTCATTAAACATTATTCTTAAAATATACTTACGACCTGTTCGGCGTTTTGCGTTTGAGTCCTGTCACTCGTCTGAAACGGTCTCGGCCGTAACAGATACCCTTCACTTCAGAATCACGGTGTTATTAATTTTTGACTTTTTGATCAAAATTTTATTTTTTTAAATTCATTTAGACATTTAGAAATCGCGCAAAGTTCAAATTCTGTTAAATAACAATCAGCAGCTTCCCCCCCCTTAAGTACTTAGAATATAGTTTATTTGACACTGCAGTTCCTTCACAGCCCACCAGGGGTCTCGTGAATATAATGTCATAGAACAGTGTAGAACACGAGAACACAACATCAGAATAGAATTGTATGTATGTTACAATATAGCGCGGTATATCATAGCGTGATACTGTAACAGTGGTAGTGTATGTATGCATGGATGATGCCTGACTCTCAGGCGGAGCTGATTTCATAGTTTCACTGAAGGAACTGCTAAGACAGTTCAACATTATTATGTCATCAACTGTAATTTTACCTAAGCTGAAATGTTAGCAGCTGTAAGACAGCGAAAAAAGAAAGATGTTTGGACAGCATGTTCTAGGGCAGGAGTGTCAAACCTATGGCCGGAGGGCCACAATCGGCCCAGCAGAGACTCTAATCTGGCCTGCTGGACAACCTTGTTGTTGGACATGAGATTCTGAATTGATAGTGTATTTTCTCTTTTACAGTTTGCATAAAAGAATCCCCCACTGCCATTCATACTACACTAAAACAATTAAGTAATAGATAAACAATAACACTTAAAACATAGAAAATGTAATTTTTTGTGGGGGATTTTGTTTTTGTTATATATTCTGATTAAAATAAAAATACTTTTTTTGTGAAATAACGTGAGTTACTTTCTTGAAATTTAATCACTACCATAACCTTTTGTTTTTATACTAGTGAGCACATCTTCGTACATCACTGCGGCAGTATTTCTACATCATGCAGTTTTACTGCATGAGTCATACTGTTCACACTGACACAAAGGGGAGTTTTTCTGGTTCTGCACCCTTGAGATCAAAGTGGGCCGTACGAGAGCCTTTACAATGAGTTTGACAATTAAGGTGATATGCCATGGCTGATTTTTCTCATCAGATGACTGAACATGATGACGACTTACATGCAAAGGCCTGGTGAAACTTAGTAAAACTGAATATCCTCTTAGGTGTGACACAGCAAGGCAAAGCATTCAAACAGCAAAGTGTAAATGTAGAGTAACCTTATGTAGGTTTATCTGAAGCTTTGCCTTGTTTTAGCAGCTCCTTCAGGGGAAGGCTGCGGCTCCCACGATGCAGGATGGAGAGATTTTGCAGGTCTTTCCTCCCCACTGCTGTCAGACTGTACAACAAAGACTTCCCAGCTGACCAAACACACACATCCACACATGTTTTTTGACAACGTTGTATTTTACTCGGTTGTATTTTTATTCTATTGTATATAGTATTTTATTCTATTCTATTTTATCCTATTGTGTACAGTATCTTATTCTTTTTATCTTATCCTATTCCAGTTTCTTTCTCATTTTTGCCATGTGACTTTGCACTGTCCACTTTCTCCTGTAACAGAACAAATTTCCCACTTGTGGGACTAATAAAGGTTATCTTATCTTATCTTATCTTATCTTATCTTATCTTATCTTATCTTATCTTATCTTATCTTATCTTATCTCATAGCAGGGAAATTTACAAACTCCTAACAGATCCCAGCAGCTACATTATAAATAATCCAATTTTCACATATATGGGCAAACACACGGTTCATAGAACAAATCAAACTCTTGCAAAGGCAGTGGATCAAATGTTTGTGAAATACGAAACCGTCTAAGGATGTTTTTGTATTAGAAATGATGTGTTAACCTCTGTTAGAGTGTGTAAAAAGAATGCAGTCAACCATACTCGCTGATGTTGGCAGGGAGGCGGCTGCCGACACACGACTTGTGTAGGCGGAGCTTGTCCCATCTGACCATTCAGATTGATCGGAAAGTCAAAATGATAATAACAGAGCTATTTAAATCTGTCTTCTTCTTTTTTGAAAATAAAAAACCCTTTCTGTCAGTGTCATTCATTACTAAAGGTATTCCCCTAAACAATGAAATGAATGCTAGACATCTTGGATAATTTTAATATTTTAACACATCCGTCAACGCGTGGATGAATTTGAGTGACGGTGTTGTTACCTCCCCCAAAAGGACCTTTTGTTATTGATAGCGTTTCCGTGTCATTCTGTCTGTGAGCACGACGGCTCGAAAAGTGTTGAATGAATTCCGATCAAACTTTGTAGGGGTTTAGGGTTGGGTCATGTTAATAATCCATCAAAAATCGGCTTAAATCTACCAAAGTGTTCAATGTCAACTTAATGATTCACTGGTTGAAAACTGACAAAACGCTTGATTCTTACAGGATTTGAAATATGTCCCATCTGACCATTCAGAATGATCGGAAAGTGAAAATGATAATAACAGAGCTATTTAAATCTGTCTTCTTCTTTTTTGAAAATAAAAAAACCTCTCTGTCAGTGTCATTCATTACTAAAGGTATTCCCCTAAACAATGAAATGTACGATACACACATTAAAAACTGAAACATACACTTCCCACTTTTACTGCAGCACAAAAACATTTAAAATACTGTTTGGAGTTAATGGCCTGAAAGGCCTCGGGTTGAGCCAAGTAAAATGATTTGTACAGGCCAGCGAGAGGTGCTGTTGTGCTAATGTCAGCCTCCTGCCTCTGTTTATTAATGAGGGCCTATTATACTCAGCATTAAGGATAAACTCAGTTTTTTAAGTCACTAGATCGAGAGTAAATAATTTCTTTTCAATGGTAAAAACTACAGGTTCATGCAGAATGCATGATTTTTAATAACTGTAGTTCTCTTTGTATAAAACACATAAACTGATGACAGAACAAAATGTAATTTCAGTGATTAAACGGGGAGCGTTATTTTTCAGCTGCTGACGTGTTTTTAATCTCATGCCGAATAACTCCTCTTCCTCACTATAAAATCACGGTGTTAACATCACATTCCTTTTTTA